GCCCTCCTCCTCCTTGCTCCCAAACACTTTGTTTCCCTTTCCTGCAGGAGTGGGGATGTCTTTCCACAGAGCGCTGCTCCCAGCTCTGCACGCAAATGTATCAGCAATAACGAGCAGCTCTGGGGAGTCACAGAAATGGATGTACTGAGACGTGGAGTGGGTGGGAAAGCTGGAGGCAAGTGCGATGCCGTTTTGCATGGGGAAGCTTTGTGCCCTATGAGAATAGACTGGGCGGCGGGGGGGAGGCAGGGCAGCTTTTTGGGTGGGGACCTGAAAAGCAAAGAAGACTGTGCAGACGCATGGCTGGCCCAGGGCTCAACAGGGCAGTGCTTGTGGTAGTGGCTGTCCAGAGTTATCTTAAAAAGAGCATGAATAAGCATACCATCAACTTAAAATGAAGGTGGGGGTTTTTATTACTGATACTGGCAGTGTGCTTCATAACAGCCTTTTTCTGCTGTAGAGATGTGATTAGACATGTCAGTCAACTTGCCCTCTTACCAGTATTTTTTAGTTCCCTTTTTCACCTCGGCTGCTGTATTGTGCCCGCAGCCCAGTAACCCACCTACCCTCTCCCTGCCGTGCAGTTCTTAATGCGGTATGCGTGTGGATTTCTACTCTCTAAATTCTTTATAGAAATTCCTATTCAGTTTAATAATTCATATATTCATTAATCTAGCCTATTGCACCATATTTTATGGCCATTAAATTTGCTAACAAGGAACACATTATTTTGGAGACAGCTCCTGTGCGGTGTCTCATACTATAGATGGGTATTACAGACAGGTGCTGCGTTTCACATAATGAACAAATGTCTGTAAAATCTCCACAAATCCCATTGCAAAACTGAGGTTTGAAAAATCTTGGCCACAATAACTTCAACTTTATGAAGTCACTATAAATTCTGCTTTTACTTATTTTTCCCCTCAATGATTGTCTTTCTACCTACCGGTTGATGCATTTGCTTGGTCAGCTCTGCTCGGAGAGGTCTCTCCCCTCAGGTTTTCTCACCCACGCTACTGTGAGCTCCCTCAGCACCACAGCAAGGAGGAAAAGCTACAAGGAACCAACACCTTGCTACGTTCTCTGATTATGTGAGACCTTCCGTTTCTCATGTGAAGCCTTGCTTTTCTTGAAAATTTTTTTTTAGGGGTTGCCAGTGGTGTTGACATCTCCTCTGTCCCATCCAGTGGTGTCCCATCACCCCTGCATTGTGCCTGTTGTTTGGGATACATCACTCGCTCTCTTTCCAATCGTTTAAATCTCTTCCCTCTGTAAGAGTGGTAGTTAAGTCTTTATTTGACCTATGCTTCTGTTGAGGGCTCTGTGCAGTTTTTGAAAGGCTTCACATCCTAGGAATCCCCATGGATTTGGGTGACATTTGAACAGTTTAACTACAAGCTATCTTATGGGGATTTGTCAGCTGCTGCATTGCTAAGACTTTGTCATCTGGAGTCCAAAGGTTGTGCCTGATTTACAGGCTATAAAGCCCATTGCACTGGCCTTCATCTTTCATGGAGAGCACCCTAGAGTGAAAGAGAGAGTGCAAGAGGAGTAGCTGCTCCTACCAGTCTCCCCTCTGTCGTTGGGAGTGGATGGACTATGTGCTGCCTTCATGATGCCAATGCTCTCCACTTTAACTGGCTCTGTGTTAGGCACTGCATGTCTTTAGGCAGCTGACAAATTATATGACAGGTTAAAGATTATTCTAATCTGCTCTGCTACTCTTCTGGAATAAGCTGAGAAGGGAGCGTTTACCATATGTGCTGTGTTATTCTAGCTAGCATAACCAACCTTATTTATCTGTCGCCTTCACACCTCGTGTTTTTCTGTGATTCAAAACTGATTTACTGTTAGCTGTTTACAGTGATTTGAACAAGAGAGGCTTGTCAAACAGACAGGAAAGAAGGTTTAATTGCTGATTTCCCATGTTCTCCTGGGGCTGGATCTGTAGGATTCCCATTCGAGTGATTAAGGAGAGAAGCAAATGGCCCGTGTAAGCAGACTTGTTTCCTGGCTGTTTCAGCAATTGTCCTTGACACAAGTTGACAGCATTGGATGTCCCAGCCTTCAGCCTTTCTTATCCCATTTTTTTTTCTTTCAGCAGTATAGGTAGACAGGAGGGATGAGTCATGTTTAAGTTCTAGCATTAGAGACTCGAAAGGCTTTTGGGCAGGGTGTTGTCTGTTGCATTGCCAATGTTTGGATTCCTTTTTGTACTTGTTTCACTGTTATAGAAAGCGTTTTACCCTGTAGGTGATATCATCCCACATAATCCTCCATAAGATCTTGTGAAAAATTTACATAAATAGACTTTGCCTTAGTGGTCAGGCATTGCCTCCTTAGAAACCTGGAAGGGCTGGCTGCTCCTTATCTCTGCACTGGCAATATGGGGAATAGTGTGTGCAGCCTGTGCAGGGAAGGCTGCTGATTGGTTTTGCAATGAGTCACAAAGCCTAATTTAAAGAATTCACGTGTAGTAATGTGACAGCTGTGATGATGGTGTACGGTGCAGGGGAACAGCTAGGGGACATGTTAAATCACATGGAGAAAAGTAAATCTTGGCTGGAGATAACCATGTTGGCTTTCACCCATTTTGATGAAATGAAAGCTGTGTTGACCTGTCTTGCTTGTTTAACACCTAGATTCATATTTGGTGAATCAGTACAGTAGATTTAGAGTTGATGAGGTAATTCACAGTTATATCTTTAGACCTCCAAAAGAGGAGGGGACAAGGGTAATGTGGATGAATGACACAGTGAGAACCTTTTTTTAAAAATGCTGTAGTTGAATTGACTTACGCAGTAAATTACATTAACCAGCAGAAATGGCATCATACAGCCTTCCCTTTCAAAGAAGGCTGAGGAAGCAGGCAAGGTGGGAACTGTGGAATACCAGCTCTTTCATCCAGTCTTGTGTCTGGTACTGATGCTTTCTTTCCTGTATGCTCTACCATTTGATTTATGAGTTTTTGCAGGCAGTCTCTGAAGCATGCGAAGGGTTGGGGCAGCTGTGGCCTAGAGCAGTAATTTCTCTCTTTTTCTGCATGACTGCCTGCCTGTCTGTTAGGGGTTTCATATAAGAATATACTTCCCTAAAGTCAGAATTGAGCAGCAAGCAATTGGTCTGGCTGGGGGTGTAAGTTGGTCAGCTTATGGAAAGCAGAGCTAGAGGACAGGGAGAATGAAGTTCTGTACCTTTTTTCTTCTACGCTGGTAAAACTGCTGCTTCAGTGATTGTTGTTTTTCTCATCTGCTCATTGTGGGTCAGTGATTCTGGATAAAAAATTTCTAATGCTGGGCCTGTATTTGAGGCTCATAATTCAGCTTTTTATCTTTATGCTTCTACTGGGATGCCTTTGTTGTCTTAATGAAGTTGCACAAATGCTGTGTACTTTGACTGCCCAATGAGAATGATACCTTCTTACGGATCTGTAAAGGAAATGCAGAATTGCTATCTGTTGTGTCTTTGACTTCATAATTTCAATCTAGGTTTCCTATTTCATCCATTATCAAGTACAGATAGATTCACAAAGAGTAGCTTTCTGGGTCTTTGTGTAAGTTTGATCCCACCCCCAGGTTTAACTCAGGCTCGCTGGTACCATGCTGGTTTGGAAACCACTTGTCACTGGAAGTAGATGGATCACAATGTGCTTGGGCACATTTTCTCTCTCTAAATACCCTGTAGTTATGCCTCCAGCAACTACAAATGGGTGTAACTCAGATGTGGCTTTGCCATACACAGGTATAGCAGAGTGGAGTGTAAAACCTGATGTGGTATTCAAGAGTACTGTTGCACTACAGAACATTTTTCATGTTTCCTAGTCAAATGTTCCTACAGGGACCTGTATGTACTTTGCAACCAAACTGCTGCTTTCTGCTGAGCAACAGCTCATAAGAAGAGTAGAGCGTGCTGAGGCAGTGCATATGCACGCAGCCTGGGAGAAAAGCACATACTGGGATTTAAATAGCTTATGAAAATATTTGTCACCAATACACTATGATGCTTCGCAAACTGGATTATGATAGGAGGTTAAAAGTTGTTTTTTTTGTTTTTTGTTTTTTTTTTTAAAAACCCTAGCTTGTTTTAAGTAGAGTCAATGCAAAAAATTAAGTAGAGGCAGAAAAGAAATGGAAGCTCTTTGGCAGTTACGATGTTTGAGAAGTTCTTTGGTGCTTCCCAACCCTGAGAAATTAACCCTTTCTTGTCAATGGTTAACAAGAAACTCTTGGTAATTCTTTTTAATAGATATGGGGAAAGTAGTTTGAAGCTGCCTTTATTTTCTTCAGTCTTTGGTGGAAAAAAAGTTTTGTTTGTTTTTTTTTTCCTGGTTAACTTTTTTATTTCTTGTTCCTGTCTTCATGTCTGTTTTGTCTTTTTGCTGTGCTTTTTTTGGTGGAGCTTTTAAAATTTAAGCATCTCAAGGAAGAAATGCTTGGTCAAATTCTGTCCTCAGTTACGTGGGGAAAAAAAGTCAGAAAAATGTATTGACTTTGCTGATATAAAGCTGGATGCTTGTTGAAGTAACCTACCAGCAAACTAACAGAACTTTATCCTGTTCTCTTTGCTCATTTGTAAATTGACTTGTCTAGTTATGAGGCTACTTAAGTAAAATACAGCTGGTTGTTCTCAATTGTTTTTAATTCAAGGCAGAGGATCCAGCACCTGCCGAAGTGGCGTGACCAAAGCAGTGCTTGTCTTCTGGTGAAAAGGTCAAAAGTGTGGTGTAAAGCCTAAAAACGAGCCTCATTCTTATATTCTGGCTCTGCAAAATTATTCTTTTTCTTCATCCAAATGTTTGGCTGCACTGACACCTCCAAGCAGATCCTTAAACCCAAGAGCAGACGTTTTAATGCTCTTACCTTTGCTTTGTCAATATGACGTGTCAACAGCAAGTTGCAGCCCTGCATTTACATTGCAAGCGCCAGGCTGCTTCGGGCTGGTGACTTGCTCTTTGACCTCATTCTTCCTTTGAACCTGCTGCCGTGGTGCGTGTTCGCCAGCTGCGTCCCTCAGCCCTGTGCCTGTTTGTCTTGTAATCCGCAGACAAGAAAAAAGCAGGCAAATTCCAGCCTTTTAAGAAGCTCTTCGGCAAGAGGAAGAAAAGAGAGCCCGCATCCGATTGCGAGGAAGCCAAACTGAAGCCCAGCCACTCCTTTGGCAACGTCTGCAACGGCACCTTCTCCTCCGATGAAGAGCCAAACGGCGGTCTGAGGTAAGCGCGCCTGGGTCTGCTGCCAGCCTGTGCAAATGCAAGGCTTGTTCTCCCTGCTTTTAATGGTATGGAATTTAAATTCTGCCTCTGCTGAGTGGTAGCAAGTTGTACACTTCTTTTACGAAGCGTGTGCATCTCTGTCCCTTCTCTGAACGTGATGCCCACTGCTGTAGACTCCGAGGTCTTGCTTCTTGCATGTGTTACTTGATGGGTAGATGTGCCAGTCTGCAACAAAGAAATCCCAGGGTGAAGCAGAAATGAATTTGAATCCGGTTCCGTGATTCAACAGAACTCCATGGCGAACACCTGAGCAGAGGTATTAATGGCATCTGTGTTTTTAAAATGGGGGAAAAGGGAAACATGAACTGGCTGCTACAGATACTTTATTGTGTACTTTTCCCTGCAAGGTGGTATCTCTGGGTCAGGACAGACACATCATCCTCTTTCAGTCTATCCCGTACAGTTTTTGCATTGTAATTGGGGTCAACAAACGGGCTGCTTTTATTCTGATCCAATTTGAATGTAGAGTAGAAGAAGGAAGAAAGGGGAGAGAGACACCTAGAAATCAGATCATATTCCAGTGACAAGAGAGGACAACAGAAGGACAGCATGAGAATTTGCTGTGGAAATGGTGGGAGAAAGAAACCATACAGAGTTAACTAGTCAGCAGTCTCTAACTACAAACAGAACAGGAAAAAAAACCAAACCAAAACAAACCAAAACCAAACAAAAACCCGCACCCCAACAAAAACAAAAAACCAAGACCAGATGTGCAAACTAATTGGGTCAGTAATAGTTATTTCACTTTTCCAACTGAAAGTCTCAGAGAAGTTAGTTGACTCCTGGTCAAATCCTGCTTCTTTGGAAGAAAGGGAACTGTTTGCACTGACAGTGTGAGTATCTGAAAGTAACAAAAACTCTGAAAGGATCAAAAAAACATACCAAATTCTTCTGCTCAAGAAAGGTGTATCAGAAACATCCCCCTGCACAGTATTTTCTATGGTGCAAAATCATAGTTGTGAAAATGTGATTTTTTAAATTTTATTTTTTTAAGCTTCTGGATTTTTTGTTCCATTCTGTGAAATTCTGTAAGTTCTAGGTTTCCCCTTCGGTTTCCACAGTGCAGTCTTGTACACCTCTTTTGCCTGTCCCAACTTTTCTGAAAATCAGGACTGAGCATAGCCACATCATAGATGGAGATGTCACCGACTGCTGTTGTGTTGCATTACCTGTGTGCATGATGCCCAGCAACTGTAGGAAGTTAGAATACCTTTTGCCTCTAGAGCAAACTAGTGAACAAGAGCAAAACAAAGGGCATCATCTCATTATTAGGGATTTCACATCCAGTGTAACTGAAAATGCAGTGCTGCACCCAGAAACAAACTGATACGGGAACTTGTCCCGTTCCTCAACAGTGAAGTGAAGGTGTGGCAAACCCTTATAAGACTGTTAAATGCTTGCATTTTTAAACATATTAATTTTTCTAATTAAAGGCATTTAATATAAACCTCTGGTGGAATAAATCAGGCTGCACAATTTAAATCACAGGGGATTAGCAAATGTGAAGGGTTCCATGTCTCATCTCAAGTGGAACATTTCTTTCTGTGCCTGTGATTCGTGAGACGTTCTTCTGTTTTAGCCTGCTAGAAATACTCAGTCAAAACTGTTTTCCCTGTCAGGCTTCGTGGTGCAAATGTGGGTGGGATTTGATAATAATTTTCAGTTTGCAGGTAGTGTTTGCCACGTTACTCATCTTACAACAAGCATCGATGTTCAGTGGAGTGCATTAGATTGCTTTGGGGAGCTCAGTTTTGCCACCCCTTTCTGTTTTCAGCACCGTGGCTTCCATCCATTATATATTTTGCCTTTAATATAATTTCAAATGTTTATGAATTTAATGCAGAGATAGGCTATCTAAGTAAAATAATATATGTAGCTGTTTACAAATTGTCTAACAGTAAATACATTGCCATACCTTCCACTCTTCATATAAAAATGGACCAGAGCAAATATAAATAACTAGTAGTATATTTATATAACCAAAATCCTGAGCAGTTTTATAAAACCATTTGCTTCAAACTCTTTAAGAATGTACAATGACCATAGATTTACAAAAGCTTAATAAAAGTTCCAAATTTGCAACAAAAGTTCAAGGATGCTCCCATTCCCTTAATAGAGCTGTATTTCTTCATCAACCTGTAAAGTATGTTAATTTGTTATCTGCAGATGTTTCATGTGGACTTTTTGTTTTGTTTTGGGGAGAGGATGTTGTTATTTTGAAAAGATATTAAGGGAGGAAGCTGCTTCAGGAAGGCACAGACAAGCAAATAAATGAGTATAGGCTAAATAAGGCATCTGTATTGCTTCCAAGACCTAAGCTAGTATTTCACTGTGTGCTGTATTGACTTACAAGCCTGCTCAGAGCTAATGCCTGAATCTCTAATGGAGACTGTGCTGACTGGGTGATGCAGACATACCAGGAGCAGTTTAGGTAATCTGCATACGGTGTAGATTGACTAGCTGAGTTGGAAGCAGCCTGAGAGATCTGCCTGTCCATCCTTTCTTACAGATACTTACTGGACTCATCAGATGCAAATAACTTGCTTGGTATCCTGATATATGTACACTTCAACCTATTTATTCATCCATGTTGTTTTGCAGTTCCCAAGTGGAAGGTTTCTGACTGCAATTTGTCTTGCCCTGCCTTGTGAAAGACTGGAATTCCTTTTCCCACTTTCATATTGCCCTTCTTGCTTTTACAAAGTTAAAACTGTATTCATTAACTTTCTGTCCTAACTGTATGAGCTGGGAGACAGAAGTGTTTATTACAAGATAAGTTAAGTTGTGTTTGTGGAGCTTCTGGTTCTGAGGCTATTATTTGGCACTTTATAAGATTTTATATTTGTCTTATTTGTCACAGTTAGCACTAAGCAAGCATTGTGAGGACATACCTGAAAGGGCACCTGTGCGGTGCCCTACAAAAAGTTTGTCATTCTGGGTTGATGTGCAGAGGCAGCAGGGAATTAAATTTTTTTCTTACAGAGAGTACAGTAGAGTGCCTTTACTTGGGCTGAATGTAATACTTCAAAGGACCTGGAATTAGACCTGTCAGGTCTTTAAGACTCAGGTGTGGCAACACTGATCATCTTCCAGGGAAAAGTCTCTCAGCAAACTTCAGTCTCTTGAATGTGCCTGTCCATGAAGTGGGACCCCTTTATTTGTAAATCCCTAGGAAATTCTGCATAATCCCAGTGAAACTGTTCTCAGGTCACCTACATAAAGTCATCCTCATTACGAAGAAATCACCTAAAGATCTTAATTGTCTCTATATGCTGGGGAAGACTGCCTACTGGAAGAAGAATAGTGAGATATTTCCTGTCTTGTAAACAACTTTTCCCAGTATTTGCTGAACCTTTGTCAGCATGAATTGCTGTTGGGACTGGACTGAGAATCACCCAGCTCTTTGCCTGGTAGAGCTGTGCTAAACTGTACAGCAGTTACTACTCAGCTAATGAATTTAGCTTCTTTTCTGCTTGTGGGGACCGCCTGCATAAGCACTGTGATTTCTCCAAATGTATTAGTTCTTTGAAAATGCCTCATTTTGGCAAGCAAAGTTGGTATTTGCTATTCAAGCTGTACCTTTGTTGCACTTGATCAGATAATTCAGAGAGATCATATAATTGCATTGTGTCACTTCCATGATTGTGGAAGCCCAAAGCATTCCCTTGCAAATACAAAGTTTGGTTTCTGACAAGTCAGAACTTCAAAATTATCTTTCCTTGACAATTGTCCTGACACCTTGCCAGGAAACTTCAATTCTAGAAATGTAAACTGGCCATATGCAGAGCTGAAGGAAAATCTTTCAGTACTTTTTGCAATATTTGTCCACTCAAAGACAGGCTTCATGTGAGTTTAAGGCAAGTATTTTGCACAGTTCTCATCACTAGGCTATATAGATAAGCAAAATAGGCAATAAACTGTTTATGGACCAAAGCTGGGGCAAGGAGCATGGTGTGTTCCCAAGCTGTGTCAGGAGTTTTATCGCTTGTGACGGCAATTTCCCAGTGGGGACGCCCCAGGGTGGCAGTGCCAAAGATGCAGCACAAGTCAGGTCATGCATCTGTATGGAGCTGCGCATTGTGTGAGCAGCTGTCTCCTGGTAAGAACTGAAGTCTCCTGAATTTCTCCAGGCGGTCTGTCTGCCAGTGCCAAGAGTGATTCTTTCCATTTGAAAAGAGCAGAATAAGGACAGGGGAGGGGAAAAAAATACATTTCATTGTCATCTTAAGAGGCCTTCATTTAGTAATATGCTAAAGTTAATTTTTGTCAGAGGCTGGGTGGGTTGGGCTGTCTCACTGGCGGTTTATGCCCGAGTCCAAATGCCACAGACAGTCTGAACGTGGAAACGAGACGGTGGTTTCATACCAGCCATCAGCTTTTTATAGTGCAAATGTGGCTTCTCTCTGCTTAAGAGAGGCCAATGGCAATTGTGGAAAGAACACTGGTGATGAATGGATGGGGCTTTCATGGGAAAGGGTGCCTGCACAGCATATTTCTTGGTAGATACTTGGCTGCTAGCGGCCATCCTAAAAGTATTTTTTAGAGAGGAAATAATGAGATCAAGACTTGATCAGTCAGTTGAGTTATGGTATCGGCAATAAATTCTAGACAGCTGTTGTTGTTTATCTAAGAGATAATTGACCTGTAGAGTATAAATTTTAATTTTACATTAATTTTGAATTCTGGGCCTGAATGGCCACAAAGGGCACAGGCAAAAAATTTTCAGCCAGAGGAAGGATAGAAAGCATAGCTATCAACATATCTAAATCACAATCGCTTTAATGGATTGAAATTTGAGAAAGAAGCCTACAGAAAGTGGAAACAAATGATGAATCGCACAGGGGTATGAATGATAAGGAGGAGTCATTTTATTAATTGTTTACTGATAGGAGGAGGACTAAGCGAAGAGTTGGTCCTCTGTAAGCATGGAGGGAATGATG